CTCAAATTCTTTATTATCATATCACATCCTTAGAGACAGAGACATATGTATGTATATGTATATAAAGGTTTTACATTATACAACATATTACAAAAAAAGAAAATAGTCTTTTTTATATATAAAAAAAATTATGATAGGAAAAAAACAAAGGTTAAATTAAAATTTAGAAAAGTAAAATTAGAAAAGACATAAAAGGAAAAAGTCATATTAGACTTAAAAGAGAGGTAAAAGAGTAAATTACCCTAGAAAAAGTATAAAAAGGGAGGGATTTTCTTCTTTTCAAGCTGGCAGCTGCAAAGGAGAAGATAGAAAAATTTTAATTTTTCTCACCCAAAGTCTAAGAGAAAATCAAGAGATTTGGAGAAGAATCAAGGGAAACACACACACCTCTAAATACCTAATTAAAAAGGAAAGAGAAGCAAAATAATCAAGGGGAGGGGTTGCATAATCATGGAAAATTTTTTGATTGGTTGAGATTCAAAGACTTGAATAACATCTAGTAAGGGGTTCTAGATCTACTCTAATAATTTCATACAATTCGAATAATATTTGAAATAGAAATATTCATAAATTTTAAGTTAGAGTTTATAAAATTTTTTTGAGAGTAATGCAAATTGACTATGAATTAATTAAATTTATTTAGATTAGGTTGTAATGGATGTTAACATTAGTGGTTGATGAAGAAAAATATAAGGTCCTTAAAAACTCAAGTGGCTAGCTAAAGATAAAAGTTAGGCTCATGATATATAATTGCATATAAAGATTCATGGATGAAATACGCGATAGCTTTGTCTCTTGATTTTTAGAAAAAATTTAGGCATGAAAATAATAAAACTTAAAATTTATCTTTTTATCAAAATTATAGTTAGGAATATTAAATTTCTAATAAGATTTGACTTGCATAAATTAGAGTTATAAAACTCTAAATATAGAATAAAAATTAAAGATAGGTCTAAATTGAGAGCATCAGGACAAATTTCACATGTTGTTGTAATTAATTATTTTAGATATTTAGATGGGATAACTGAGTTTAGTGTTCTCATAAAAATTATATAAAAATATTATATTTTTTCAAATAAACAAACTATGCATAAAACTAATTTTTAGAACCCTGATAATAATTTAAACACTGAATAATATTCAAAGTTAATTATGAAAAATCACCTAATTAGTTAATTTTCAACCCATATTTTGAATTACTCTTGATTTGAAATTTTGAATTTTTTTGAAGTAATGAAAATAAAAAATAAGTATAAAAATTGGTTGCATATTCGATATTATATGGGATTTTCTTTGTTAATAGAATTTGAAATAAATTAAATGAAAAATAATAGTTTTGATTAAATAAGTCAAATTAATTGATATTTGCTGGTTTAAATGGTTAGATAAATTTTAAAATTGTTAAATAAATTTAATATGCTTGTTGATATAAGAGAGGGTTTAAAAGTTGTTGTACAGTAAAGAATCATTTCAAAATCTTTAATTGTAGATGGGTGTTCAATACCTTGACATTTTCTTTTATAATATTGCCACTATAATATTTTAGATATGTTATGTTATTTTATATTTAATTTGCAGTGGAGGAAAGTAATTTTCCAGTTATGAGATTATTGTGCGTTAAGGGGTAATGGAATTAATTCTAATGAGGGGATTAATGCACAGTAAGGGACAACAAAATTAATTCTAATGATGAGATTAATGCACGGTAAAGGGTAGTGGAATTAATTCCATTTATGGGTTAATGCCTGGTAATGGCAGAAGAAATTAATTCCAGTGACGAGAATAAAATCCGCTAATAGATATAAGAATTAATATTTTTAAAATTGAGATTAATGTTTAGTATAGAGGAATGAAAATCAAATTCCTAGATGTAGGAGTTTTATCCGGTAAAGGTAAAGGATAGAGAATTTAAATTATTTATAAATAAAAATAATATCTGGACTTAAATGAATAAAGAATTACCCAGTATTTGATATTGGTTGAAAAAAACTTAATATGGATAATACAATTTAGAAAAGAAAATGTGTACTAGAAATAATAATAAATAAAAAATATTAAATACAAATAAACCATATAAATTAAAGATTGATAGTGTAAATGATATTCATATAAGTCCTTATGATAAATTATGTTCAAACATGTTACTGTATTTATTTTAATTATTTAAATAAATTATTATTACGTATTTAATTGTTTTTTGTATATTAATTATAGATGTTTTCAGCCTCGAGCAGCATAATAGATATTTAAAAATTTTTGTTATAATAATTATCTTTTTTTAATTGAATGTCAATTTCTCTTAGATTATGTAATTATAAATTTAACTTAATTATATTAGAATATGATATTATATTTATGTTTTTTTATTGTAGTTTATACTAATAATATAGTACAATTTATGGTTATAACTCTTGATTTGAATCTTGAATATTATAATTAAATAGATGATGTGATATTAAAATAAATTAAAATGATTGTGATGAGTTACGATGTGAAATGATGAGTGTAGAATAGTTAGATAATAATTAGGCTTTGTGTGAAGGGTGTATTAAAGTATTACAAGTACTTATCAATAACTTGAGAATTTCAAGTATGAGAGAAATTTTATGGAGCTTTTTAATAAATTAATGTAAAGCTAAGTTTTTATATATAAAAAATTCACCCTGAAAATAGTAATTATTTATAGGAAATAAAGTTTAAAATGCATGTAATTTTCAAGGGTGTTGCAAATTAGATCAATTTTTGGATAAAAAACAAATTGAAAATAAATGTTTAGATAAATAAATAAAAAAATCATAACTCTTGGTTTTGTAACTGTCACAGTAGTGAAATCAGGGAAGAAGCAAGTGATATGTCACTTATAATTTTTTTCAATTTTTTTTGGGTAGATAGCTCCTTAAAAACTTTTACAAAAATAAAATAGCTCAAGTACTCTGAGCTAGAAGGCCAGCTTGTATGGATTTTTTTATTGTTTTTTTATTTTTTTAATTAATTTTATTAGTAATATTTTATTTTTATTGACTTTTTTTATTTTTTATAATGTTTTTTTTTAATTTAATATAATTGAATTTTTACTTAGTTTACATATAAGATTTTAATGTGTTTTGATGATGTTAAAAGCTATTCTTTTCTGTGTAGCCCAACTTAATTTTTTTTTTTTAATTTTATAAAGTATTTCAAGAAGGATTTTCTCGTGTGGTTGATGGGCTTTTAGTGATTTTCTAAGTGTTTCTTTTTTATTATTATTTTATTAAATAAAATATTTGTTTTAAAAAATGAAGTTATTAAACAATATTGAGTATGTTACAAGATCAATTTTTTAATTTACATTTATTTTTTGATTTTCCAGTTTAATCTCTATTTGTAGTAAATAATTTTTTTCATTTATTTGTACAAATAATTATCAAGTTATTTAATTAAATAAATATATAAAAATTTTAATTTACAATTAAGATTTTTTATGTAAAAAAAAAATATTAAAAAAAGCATACATATTTATATTTTCATGTTGAAAATAAAATTTACCTATCAGATAACAAAACGAAGAGTCACATAACCATGTCATTAGTAACCAATCTTTCACGTGAAATTTTTTTACAGTGGTGAATTTTTCAAAGTCATGCGTTAAAAGCGATACGCGTTTCAACATAACAGATGCCTTGCGCGTACAAGAATGCCTCGTATAACGAAACATTCGTTAATTAAATATTAAAGAATTTAATTTGCCAGTCAAACAAGAAGCAAGGCAATGAAAACTAACCCCAACGCACGACCTCTCACACTCCCACCGGCAAACGAGATCCTCGTATCTAAAAACCCTAATTACAGCAGCAGCAGCAGCATGCCTTCCATTGCTAAACCAGAAGGGCTACAACAAGGCGAGATTTCCTAACTTTGCTTGTAGTTTTCAACGCAACGTAAAATAGTTATGTTTTTTTTTCCTTTGTCACCCTCTGTAAGAGATTTGCTGACACTGATATGTGGCTTGAGATCGCGTAACTTGCCACATGCAATGGAATAACAGTCACCCTCCCCTCACAATTTACTTCGAGTACACGCACCACTCCAGCATATCCCACAAGCTATAGGAGGCTTCCTGCAGTCATCATACCTCTTAGAATGTACACTTCCATGAAAACTATACCTGGAATCATTGGCAATGGAGCAGCATTTGCGCCGACAAGGCCCTCGATCCAACCAAGTTCCACCATAAATATATATATCCACAACAAGCACACTGATATTGCTATATCCAAATAATGATATTTATTCCTCCAACAAGACCACTCCTCCTGACAGAAGAGACCCTTGCAGCAGAAGAACCTTGAAGAGATAAACCATGACTGATTCAATGGTGCACCAAAAAAAAATCTGTACATCATTTGAACCATGCTGAAACGGCATGTCCCTTTTTCATGCCATGTGATATCATAGCAATGACTTAATGGAATCATGCTTCATTTCCAAATTCAATTTTCTATAAATTATGATACATTAATATTGTATCAGGTAATTAATCTATAAATTATGATACATTAATATTGTACCAGGTAATTAATATCTACACACACACACACACACACACACACACAAAAGTAAATGTCTAGTTTTTGTGCTGACGTTACTAATCATAATTAAATTCTTTGAAAAGCTTAATAAATTTGCGATATATATATATATATACACACACACAAGTAAATGTCTAGTTTTTTTGCTGAGGTTACTAATCATAATTAAATTCCTTGAAAAGCTTAATAAATTTGTGTTCCATGATATTTAATCTCCTTGGGTTATCTGGATTGATGGATTCTCGTATAAATTAAGATTTTGTCATGGATCCATATTTAGTGTTTTTTCTGATTATCCATGTCAAAACTAGAAAATCATGAGAATTTTGTTATTTTATTTCCAGTTTCATTATAAGAGAATATATCTACTTAACCATCAAAGAGACCCCAAAAGTTAATCATCATAGAATTTCCAATAAACAAACAATCACCTTGCAAACCAAGGAGAAAATAAAATATTAATCTGAGCTTTCATATTTCACAAGGGAGAAAAAGAAAGGGTCATGTCATGCATTAGTTATAGAAACTAGAAAATACTTAAATCATCCCCTGAAAACAGCTTTATAGAGTAGTCTTGCTATCATTTGCCTTCACGAAAAAGCACTACGGGCACGCGGTGCAGGGGCACGCGGTCATCAACATCGAAGGGGTCTTGCCTAATCAGATTTACAATCAGAAATCAGAATATCTCCGGAAAGAATTTTAATATTCAGGACAAAATTTGTACACACTACGAAGTATATGCTTGATGACATCACTGGCTAAACCAATCGGTTGCCATAACGAACTAAAATTTCATTCCTCATGGAATGGGAACATCACCAACAGATGAAATACATTATCTCAACTGTACAACTTCGTACCATCTTCATCAGGTAAATGGGTATCGCTATCTTTCTGACAGGTGATCTCACAAACCCATATGCCATCCAAATGCATCAATTGTCAGATCCTCATTCTGCTGAAGAACTGGTTTCTGCAGTTTCATCCTCGCTGAAACTAGATGGCCTCTCTATGACAGACCTGCAGAATACACAAAGCATGAAGAATGCTATAAGCTCTGTAGCCTATTCAGAAAAGGGGAAAGAAATGATCAGGTTTGCATTGCTGGCAGTATGAAAATAATCATCTAAGTGAGACAGAGTTACATGTTCAGAAAACAAATATCTGTCAAAACTGAAAATAGTGATTAACTAACAAGTCAGCATCTCGACCAAATCAGGCATCCGGCATCCTCTTATACAAACACCACAGACACCTATCATTTCTTGAGCTTTGAACCTCACTTCAAACATATGAACCCAATCAGTCTTGACATGACAGGTGAACAATGTGAAGTCTGGTGATCAAAGAGTTACTACTCTGCACCTTACAAGAGGAATTAATATGACTTATTTCACAATCAGCCAATTTATACATGAAAACAAGCTTTACCAGTGTTAATCACTATAGATGATTCAAATGAGTATTCACAACAAGTCTCTGAGAATCGGTCTGTTTCAGACACATATAACCTCCCAATGCCAGCTGGCACATCCCATGTCACACAATGCCTACAGCTTCAGTGAAAGCAAAGCCCAAGGTCATGCTCTCTAGATTCTAATGCACTTCTACGTGTTCCATAGATAATTGGTACCTCAATGATGTATGATTAAAGAGAAATCTGCTTGACAATTATCCCTCCTCTCTTTTCACCCAGCTCTTCAAAAGGAAGGCTTTATGGGGTTATGGATCCTGAAATAGTTCTAGATAGCAGTAGCAAGTTTCCTATTCGTATTAGCCATCATGACAGAGGGAGGTACTAATGTCAGTTCACCTGAAAGGTGAAACAAAAAAATTCGATAACACAACAAACAGGGTAACCATGCTTAACAATGCAAACTACCACAACTGCATCAGAGTACAAGTGGCGGTGTAAACCACACAACAGTAACCATCTACACAACCATTTATTTCCATCTAAATAAAGCAACTTACTTTGGAAACTAAAATTTGTACAGCTAAATGCATCATGAGACATGGATACTGTACTGTAATTCTCTTCATGGGAATTTTTGGATTCATTAAAGACTAACAACCATTTTAAGTCCATCAAAATTGACAAAACATGCACAACATATACACACTATATTGATAAAATAAAGAAGAAAAGAAAATTATCATTACATATAGAAATTTTTACCTACCCTTCAGTCAGATTTGTTCTCTGGCGCACACCAGAAACTGATGCTTTTGTCACATGTTCTTGCTGTGGAAATTCAGCCCTGAATCTTTTTGCAACCTTCAAATATTAACCCAAAAGGTGAAAGGGTCAGAATCAATGTACATTTATAAAAAGTATATGTGTGCATTACAAGTCTATTGAGGATGAAAGTACATGCAACACGTCGTATATACTCAAAATATTCCCATAAGCTGACCACATTATAAACTCACAGCTGTTTCATCTCTCGGATGCCTCTTTACTCTAACTGAATCATGCGAGCCTTTCATTCTCTTCATTTCTCCATAAAGCTTTTCCTCCTACACATACCCAATGTATAACTTGATATTATACTAAATATGTTAGAGTGGACCAGTTCAAGAATACAAGCAGAAGGATTTAAACAAATAAGAGAACCTTTCCCGTCTTTGTAAATGGTGCTCTCTCCTCTGTAACAAGAGATTTTCCAGGTCCAAGAATCGAGTGTGAACGCTTAGACATGTAGTCATTCCTCCGAGCTATCTTAGGAGTGTCATTATCACAATCATGCAACCAACCTTGTGTCTTTTCTCTCCTGCCACGAGGACCATGATGGGTTGCAAAAGAATTTGATCTTCTCCCTTCAAAATCATGCTTAGAGCTTGTCCTATAATTTCTTTTGCTTCTATAGACTGACGTTTCACCAGCAAGATCATCAGGCATATCCATGGTAGAGTTCCCGCCTGCATTAGAATTGGAACCATTATAGGTAGACTTCTGTTCTAGATGGTGACGGGATTTTCTCTCATGAGAATCAGATCCATGCTCGGGATTACAATTTGCTCCCTCTGTATATGAATCATGAGAACTCATCTTGGTGCTATATACTTCATATCCCTGCAAGGGTATAAAACACATATAATAATTATACTTAAAATGGCATTCCAATTTGTATGAGTTTCCATGAAGGTGTGACTATAAGCTCTCATCAGAACTTCAAAAAACAACTATTATCACTTCAACTGCTGGCACCAAGCAAGATCTGGGCGATGGCAAAATGGAGTCCAAGAAGTCATTTGGCCATAAAAAATAAAAATAAAAAACAAACTAGTCCCCTGACATTTCAATGCCTAACTGAACCTTTTCCATGGAACATACCAAAATGAGGAAGGAAATATGTTGCAAGCGTAATTGCTGGTGGTGCATGGTTGGTGGCAAAATGGCAGCAAAAGTAAAGTGAAGGCCACAATGGTGTTGAACATGGGATGGCAACCTCTTTGGGAATGATGGAGAGGTGGAGGACATAGAGGTTTCCAGCATGGACCTGCAGAACTTGAGCCTCAAACTAATTTGTTTACCATTATATAATAATGGTCATAGTTCTGACACCATTAAATTATCTGTCCAAAGTGAATGACAGCCATTTTGTTTGCACAATATAAACTCAACTCAACTAAGTATCAATATTCTCAATCCCATTACATTTGGACAAACTCAACTCACCTAAGTATCAATATTCTCAATCCCATTACATTTGGACAAACTCAACTCACCTAAGTATCAATATTCTCAATCCCATTACATTTGGACAACACAGCAGGCACAAAATTTAACCCTTGTTTCTATATTGATTAATGTGATGAATGAGCATGTATAACATGATATCAAGATGTCACTGACTATAAAGCCAAGAAAATGTATCATAAGATCTACTCACACCACCGAGACTGGGTTGCTTTCGAACTCCAGAAACATCAGGAGAACGCATCCGAACAAGATCGCCTACATAGATTGGTCCTGCAAAGATGATTCGCCATAAACAGCATATCAAAGTAAAGAAAAGTGGAGTGTACATAGTTGTAAATAAGAAAAAGGAGTATGGTTATCAAATTATAGTGAAATATATGTCAACAATGAGTGGAGTGAGGACTCAATGCTTCTGCCAGCTGTTGCAGAAAAATGGCATCAAGAGGAAACCAAAAAAAATAAATTCTGGCTCCCAGCATCAAATGCAAACGTCATGGTACCATTGAAGAATTTGTAAGGTAAATTGCAAGTCTAAGTAGGTAGAGAAACAAATGGGCTATTTATTGCCAAGCATGCATCAAACATTTAAGTTGAATGCAGATGCTACTGAAGTAAGTATTGCTGCATTCAACAAAGCAAGACATAACTTATTTGGAATGCAACTGAAGCCATCAAATCATACAAATGGAAATACATGCATCCCTGCATTCTCATCCTAATGCTCTTCCTCCAAGTAGGAATCAGAGAAAACTTAAAAAGAAAATAAAACTAGAAAAGCAAAATTTATTGGGAAACCCCAGCCAGCAAAATTTGCCTGGAATTCCTTAGGAGGTCATGAGAACTTACCATTGACTGGATCTCTACTTGGGGATGCAAATGCACTAGGAGGGAGTGACTGGAAGTCAACACCAAGAGGTGGACCATCCTCCTTATAATGCCTGCCCAATTGCATCTTGACAGCAGTAATAGCAGCATTCTCAATTTCACCCTTCACTTTCAAAAATCCTGATGGTTTATACCCAAAACTCTCAGCACCCTTGGGAATTAATGGCATGGAAGCTCCATTCTGTGCTAGGTACTTTGAGGTTTCTGTATCATAAGGATCCTCTCTTTGAGAAACAAACTTATCTTGTAACGATGAGCTACTTCCTGAAGATATATCATCAATGCTGCTAACATTCCCCGTATAGCGACTTGTACGGTCATAGGTTAGATCAGCAGTATGAAAATCTTGACCATAAAGTCTCCGGCTTTCAACTTCCCTTGGATCGATATTCCTATAATCACCTTGTTTAGTACTGCCACATGAATCTTGCCTCAATCCACTACCACGATCATGAAGAATACTGCTAGACCGATCTTGTCGTCCGTTAGTGTATCCTTCATCCTTCAATCTTTTGTCTTTTAACCTTCTGTGGCAAAACCAGCTAGATATTTGCTTTTCTGTCAACCCAATTCGGTCTGCAAGTTCTGATTTCATTTCCTCCGTAGGATATTTGTGCTCTGTGAAGAAGTAAAGACATCACCTCAAGAACATAGAGACTAACAGCCGTGTGTGCGTTGAATAAAATATGTGAGAGATGAAAGAGTACCATTATAAAAGCTCTCCAAAGCAATAACCTGGGCTGGCGTCTTGACTGTCCTCTTTAAATTCTTCTCTGGAGAAGCTCTATTCTCTTCAGAATGCACTTCACTTGATTCTGAACATTGATTTTTTTATAAGACAGAGTGAAAAAGAACATGCGAGAGAGAAGAGCAAAGACACCAAACAGAACTTATAAGTTTCCCTATTCTGCTACCTTGTACAAGAAAATCAAGCACTGAGTTGAAAACAGTGATCTAAGCACAGAAGCATATCGGGTACAAAAGCAGAATAAAAAACTGTAGAATTGTGCTATTGTGTATAAAGTGAGGAAGTGACAGCACCAATTTAACTAAAGAAAACCAAATTAGTTAATCAGGCGAGGTGTAGAAATCCACGTTCACAATAATTTATCACAAAGGATATTAAATGCACCGTGTTTCGAAGAAGAGCATGTAAATGAGATTGATCGTGGTCAATAATGAATCCCAGTTTGACTAGAGTAAATTTGGCCAAGCAAAGGGAGTGGGCGGCATGTAGCTTTCAAAGAATTGGTGGACAAAGCAAGCATAACAGGTAAAATGCCACTGTTTTCACACGAACATCCAGAGTGCTTTGAAAGATGTTTATAATGACTTTGATTGTTTTGAAGCCAAGCCCTAGAAAAGTTCGTAGGGGAAAGCATGCACCTTATTTCATGGATGTAAGCCATAACTAGATAGCCAAAACCATGTTTACTTTCAGAACAACTGTGATTCAAAATAACTTTCTCGCATTACACTCAGACCACTCGTAATTCATGCTCAGTGTAACCCATTGGCTCATATATGAAGTATTCCAATTCCAAAAACATTATTCAAGGAATTCTCAATCAGCAACCAATGTTCACTCGAAGTTTTAAGCGTTAAGGTTAAATACTTCACAATATCTTTCATGTAAATATACATTCCATCTTAAACCTCAAGAGCTGTTGGAACACAAAACAAACATTATTACAGGCATACAACCTTGAGATTCAAAAAAAATAAAAACTGCTAGAATGATAAAATTCAGATGTGTGATGATTAACAATGAAAATGATCTTGCTTCACCTGAAAAGATTGCCGACATGTTTTGTTTGCAAGACAAAATGACAACATAAACGAAACGAAAGGTTCAGCAACATATAGCCAGGATTTCCATCATTTGGGCCAAAATCAAAACCCCATTTCACACACAATTCCAGTTTCCTCAAAAAACAAAAAAATCCCTAAAGGAAATTCTAACAGTTACTTATCTTGCTGATCCCAAAATAACCCTTATTGTCCATGCAAAAGATTTCTAGCAACCCACCAAACGAAAAATAAAATTCAAAAGAGTGTATAAATGATCATAAGATTGAAACCAGAAAGAGGGGGAGAGGGGGGTATGGGTTACCTTCCATGGTAGTTGAATTTCAAGGGATTCTCTCTTTTCTATGGTTTTGATTGGATCATAAATAGAACCCCATTAGACCAATAAAACTACTAAAATAGAAAATGCAAGATGGGTTTCGTTTCTTAAGGTTTGATTGCGTGGAGCTCAGCTTTCTTCTCTGATGTGTTAGGAGAGAGAGAGAAAGAGAGGTGCGTTTTTTTGGAAGGAGACTGGAAGGCAGAGTTAAGATAGAGAGAGAGAAGGAATTGAATTCTCTCTTTCTTCTCTAATTTATTGTATAGTTGGGTTTGCGTTTGTTTCAATTCTCTGTTCAAATCCAGCAATTTAACTTCTTCTCCTTCTTTTAAAAAATAAAAAATTACAGTTGGGTTTTTTCAATTCAACGAAATTCAATTTGCAAAGTGGATTGTTCTTAATTTTATTCTTGAGTTTGGTCTTTGGATATCATTTATATTAATGAGCTGTTCAATTATAAATAAAAAATATTCCCAAATTAAACAGGAATAACAAAAGAAATCACATTATGAAATATTCTTAAATTATATGAGTAAAGATGCAGTATTTATCTTCCATGAAAGTTCACTGGGAATTTGATGTACACATACATGTAAGCACAAATTGGAGAGGGTTTTCTTCATACTTTTTTCAAAAATAATTTTCTATTTCATCCGACTGATTTCAGATTGGAGTCTTGAGCAACTCATTCGAATTCCATTTTGTAACTTACTTCAATTTCATCTATTTAAAAGAAAAAAAAACGGTTGATGGATCTAGATATATTCATTAATACGTGGGTATTTTCCTGTGATAATTAAATCTCAATATTTTATTTCCCAGAAAATCAAAAACTGGTGATTTTTAACCAGGGGCCGGTTATAGGAGGGCTAAAATTGCAGGCTCTATCCCTCTCAACACCACGTCTTCAATTAATCATCAGTTCAGAGAAATTCAAATTTAAAAAAAATGCTTGTGATAGGAAAACAGGAATGAACTACTCACAAATTAATCTGAACATTCACATTAATATGAAAAAAATACTAAAGTCTCTTTTGTCATTGTACCATAACCATGTTTTAAAAAAAAAAAAAAAAAAAATACTAAAGTCTCTTTTGTCATTGTAGCATAACCATATTTTAAAAAAAAATTAAAATTTTATTTTTGGTATCACATGTTAAATAATTTTAAAATATAAAAAAATATTTTTTCATAAAAATTTCTAAGCACAAAAACAAATGGGTTTTAGATGGTGCCTTTCGCTAAACAATATATTGAAAAAAATATTTTTGATATTAATATATTATAATAATATAAAAAATAAAAAAATAATTTAAAAAAAAAAACATCTTTCAACCAAGTCACCCAATCTACTTACTATTTAATAGAATCAAAACATACTATTTATAGTATAACGAGTAAAAAAATAAAATAAAATATATTCGTAGAGGATCTCAATTCAAGTAGATGTTACACCAAGCTGGAATCTCTATGGTATTTGAGTAATCCAGGAACTCCCATTTTTATTTTTATTTTTGATATAATTAGTGGTTCCTTGTTGGCATGGGATTTTATTAATGGTTCCTTCTGACAGAACAGTTGAGAGATATTCTCAAAAAAGAAATGAAGAGTTGTACGATAAGGAGGAGGAAATTGTGTATTTAAAAATGCGAACCCAATAGGGAAGAGGTTAGTCCATTCACTCTACCACACAAGTCGAACGTCTCTTTCATCCCTCCAAAGTCCATACACCACTCCATCTCACCTTCTTTACAGGGGAGGGGGCCAGATTACAATATCACCAGCAAACCAAAGCTCTTTACAGGGGAGGGGGCCAGATTACAATCTCACCAGCAAACCACGGAAAGAGTGCATGGGCTGGGCCCAGATTGAAACTGCCCTTTTGAATCATGTTCCAAGTAATGTATAATAAAAAAATTTCTTCTTTTTTAAATAATTTTTTAAATTTTTAAATTTTGGTGATGTATTAATAAGAAATAAATTTAAAACATAAAAAATAATTTTTTTTATATATTTCTAAATAAAAAAGAACCAAGACGAGGCTAGACAAATTAATCATATTCCCAATTCACTTGATGAGCTAGCTGTGAAACCATTTGGTCCACTACCAGGATGATCTCAAATGGCTCCTTCCAGAGGGTTTTATCTGATCACCACACAAGCCTTTCCTCGCAAGAAGACTTCTCAAGAAAAATCTTGGAGGCTTAAGAATACAAAAAAACTGACGGTCTAAAATGGTCCTGCTATGAGACTAATTTTTTTATTTTTTTTTTTGTGGCTAAAATTTCAAAAGCTGTTACACTGGTGTGCAAGTTGCATAAGTTGGCAAAAAGATTGAGAGTTGTAGCATTCTGTGTCCTCAATGAAAATAAGCATATTTCTTCCCTGACACTACAGTTTCAGTATCTGAGGTTTTCTTTTTCCGATCATTCCACCTTTTTGCTAGAGCTGGTTCCACTATCTTCTTGAGATGACACAGCAGTCTTGGACTCATCAAACTCCATTAACTGCACATGATGCCGAAATAAATAATACTATATCAGACAACCGAGCATGATTACGATGACTTCGCAGGAGAAGAAATTTCTAAGAAATTATAATAGAAAGGTGGTCACTGTAAGCAACAGAAATAAGATCATAATAGGACATACTGGCTTGACTTCACCATTCCAGAAGACGTGAGCAGCTAAGAATCCTATAACAGCTGGTACAATATACAGAAGCGCAGGCTGAAAGTAATAACAAGAAAGCACAGCGATCAATACAGGGGATAATAATCCTGACATACAAAATAGAGAAGAAAAACAAGCAAAATGATCGAGACAAGTCACCTGAGCAGCTTGGAACCAGTTCATGATAATAATTGTAAGGACCACGCCAGCTGCATATCCAAGAAAAGCACTCTTAAAGTACTGGCTGTCTTTTCCCCTGGACACGTCAAATCGCAATGCCAGAGCTACAAAAATACCTGAAAGGGCAAAAATATATATAACAACCAACGTAAGAACCTAGGAGTAGATGATCACTCTATAGTGTGCTTTACTATCAACAGCTATTACTGTAACCAAATCAACGTATTTGACCCCGCATCTTCAACTTTCTGATGCTAAAATCAGAAATATTGGCTGCCTTTATATATATGCATCTGATATAGAAAGATTATGTAAAGCTCTCCCTCCAGCTAATGTGCGGGGATCTTTTCATATACACAGTTTCTTTCAAAGACTATTCGGTTTCTTTCAAAGGAATAACCACCCAATAGAAGATCAACCATATGTTTCACTAATTTTATATTATTTAACTGAAAAGCAGATTCAATGAAAATATTTTTGAGCTAGATAGAACATAAGCTATGGAATGGAAAACACTAAGCCATGCTAATGTCACAAAGTTTCATTCAATGTTGTAACAACTACTCATAGAAACCAAATGCAGCTGTCTATCATCATAGCAAATATCATGCAGGTGCAGATCTAACTAGACACTTTACCAGGAATCACAATGTCACCAAGTCCGAGCATGGAAAATGGTCTCACAGTATCAGCTGTGGGGAACAAAAGCTACAGAAGAATAGAATAGGCATGCTAATAATTAGACTGCTGCAACAAATCATATCAAAAGCTTCAATAACAAAATTCATTTTTACATGCAAATATGATATCATTGAAGATGAATAAGCTCAAAAACTAACCTTAATAGGTGCATCAAAAGATTTTGCCACGCTAACCATCACAGGAGTGAAGAAAACCCAGAAAATGTCATATACAAAAAGTCCAGCCTGCAATAAATTAAGGATAAAAAGATCAAATATCAGAAGAATTACTAATTGCCAGGAAAAAAGTGACCGGGGCTATATCAAGAAACCCCCCTTAGTGTCATCAAAATAAAGAACAGTAGCATATTTATGGAAGAAAATGATAAAATAAACTGCTGTTTTGAAACTCGTGACTAGGAGTCAAGGACCAAGAAATGTTAAATTTCCACCTTTTGGGATTTTATGCATTTAAGTGTTCTGAACATTTTGTTCATTGCTATATTTGACTTCTTAAAAGAGAAAAGAAAGGAAAAGGAAAGGTACATGACTATTGGCAACATTAAACAGGAAGAGTCCTGCATTGTGAATAGTAATCTAAAGGAAAAGGGCACTTCCCTCAACTCACATAGTGTTTCTTTAACCCATTAAGAGGCACAATTCTACTAATTAGAGCCTTATGCTGTATAAAAGGCCAAGCTGTAGGATAACCAAAAAAAGGATAGAAAACTTTCCTTATCTCTCTTCAATGTCCCTTTGCAGAATAACAGAAAAATCAAGCATGCCATGGATAGATCTTCAAACTTAAAAATGTTGTTCTCTTACCTTAAATCATATGTCAAATTCCATAACAAGTGAAAGAAGCTAAGTTTTTTACCCTCTACTGCTTAATCAAATATTACACCAACTTATCCTTTGCAGAATAACTGAAAAATCAAGCACAAGTTTTCAAATCCTAAAGACATGGATAGATCTTCAAGCTTAGTAATGTTGTTCTTACCTTAAATCATATGTTAAATTCCATAACAAGTGAGAGAAGCTAAGTTTTTTACCCTCTACTGCTTAATCCAATAGTACACTAACTTATCCTTTTGTACCAAAGAAGGTTCATGAGATAAAGAGTCCACGGTATGCTCTCTTAATGGACTAGAGAAACACTGATCAATATTGAGAGTGGGGCTGCCCTTTTCCTTAAGATTACATGAAGTTTCCCGTTAAGGTCAGCCCCAGTCATGTAAATTCAGCACAAAAGAATAATATTATCCACAAATGTACTTTCCAAATAATCTGGTTGCCATCAAACACAACATATGCTAAGCACATATGAAAAAAACACTAGCAACTTTATTCTGAGGAAACAAATTCTCAAGGACATGATTTTCAAGAAACATGAATATCAGCATTCCGTAACTTAATCTGCATATAGACATAACTTAACTAATGTAACAAACTAACCACATCTGCAATTGTATAATCAATAGTTATCCAGAAAAGACACAAGAACTCCACAATTAGACTACTTACCAAGAGGATGGCACCAGTCTTAAAAGAACCAAGGGAAAGCATTTCAATCCCCTGAGAAAAAGCAACACAAAATCAAATCATTTAAAAACCATCCAAATTTAGTAACTACATCAATCACGGGTACTTTTAGTGAAAAATATCTCGCAACTTATAAGGGGAAAAAATATTTATCTCAAGAAAATCCTGTTTCTATTGAACATTGGAACTTTGCAGTGCATACACAAGTCCTTGGCAAGTACTGAACATGTAAAAAAGTATAGTTATGGAAGCTATTAAAAGATCCACCCATTATTTAGATAACTCAGCTTGCATTCTGACATTTGATGAAATGCCTCAGATTATATAGAGTATCCAGGGGAAAACGTTGAACAAACAGGCATACCCAAAGATGTAAGCAACTACAAGAAGGCGACTAGAATATATATATATATATATATATATATAATTGAAAAGTAAATAAGGCATGCTAGCTTGTAATTAATAATATTTTTCAGTGTACAGCTTGGTTAATGTGAAAAAAGCGAGAGTTGATATAATGCAAAAGCATGATTTTTCCAAGAGGGTATTCTACAGAAGATAAATAAGTTAAAGCAGTTAGCTTGTAATCTGTTGACTGAGTGACGCCAGACCTGGATACAGAAAGCCAAGCCCAAAATATTGTTAGCCAGCCAATGCTTTTGGGAAGCATACCAAGCACAAAAGAATGTTCCAGGAATAGCCGCAACAATTTGAGATCTTGTGAACTCAATATCCAAAGCTGTGCAAGAAAGGTACAAGGAAAAACATCATTCTGCATGATACAATCAAGACATCCACTGAATCAAAGAAAAGTCCAAGAAACATAAGGTCATTAATGCTTTAACATGCAGACAACCAAGCATTTACAATGTCCAAAGCACCACTGTAAAAACCAGTCAAGAATATCCAAAGGAACTTGTCGTTATTATATCTAAAGTATGAATAGGAAGTACAGCTCCAGGACACCAAGAGTGTTATATTCGCGGCCAGATAAACATGCATGTACAAGCATCTAACTAGTCAAAATCCAGTTTTTAAGAAATGGGAACAGGGATTCAAAACTATGTCACCCATTATGAGCAGAAAAGATACAGAAACAGAATGATTACCATTTAATTTGTGTGTTTTTACTTATCCATAAAGATACAAGAACATTTCCTTCCCTTTGAACCAAAAATCAGTAAATAAATATAAAATAGAGCAGCATGTTCAAAAAAATAAAAAATAAAAACAACACGCAACAACAAATAGCTCGAATTAAGTAACGAATCAGGAAGCATTTATTTTCCGTTGAAATTCGAAGCATCCACAAATAAGCAACCTAGCAGTATAGCATTCAATAACCATGATTATAAACTAAGGATGGAAACCAGCTGAATTTTCAGAATTATTTAAGGGGAGTTGAAACATGTCTAGAGGATTCATAAGAACACGTACAACGGAAATATGGGAAATTCCAAGAAATGACATCATCATTCCAATGCTTAGGCAAATAACGTTTTATAGCTGGTAATAGTGTTGCCCTGAAAAAATGCAAACAGGAAAAAATGAGAATAATAAAAACATTAAAAAGAAAATAACACTTTTAATTATTTTATGCATATAATCATTGAAGTTCAAGTGGAAAGAACATACGAAAGCGCGACGATTCCAAGCACAAAAAAGTAACAGGTCAGAACAGCATTAACCAAATCTTTTGAAAGAAACTTGAAGAGTAAGAATAATGATAACAGCATAGCACTTCCGACAAAGGGAAAGCGCATTGCATGTTCATTAGACATGGTCTCCTGCAAGATTAAACACAGCAAATTTCAGTCAAGCACAATCTAGATCACCGGAACAGGAAAAATAAAGGGGGTAAGAATAAATGGTAATGCTTTTTATACTAACTGAAGGTGGGGTAGGCTTGACAGATCGATAGCAACCGACATAAACTGCCAGGCATGCAGTCAAGATCACATTTAAGTTTGGATCTACCTTCACAAAAAGTGGTGCCAATGTTAAACCTGCATTGAAAATCACACATATGGTATCAAAATCGCATCAAGTTCCCAAGCCATGGAACAAACAAATGGTGCTCCCACACATCAGTTTCAAGAAACAAAGAGCTATCATGTTCAAAATCCCCTTCTCTTTTTCTTACTCCAATGGCTGGGCTACTCTAGAGAAAGTAGCCCTCCTCTCCTTTAAACCCCTCGCTGCACATGAGATTCAACCCTACATCTCCCATACTACAGGTGTTTTCCGGCATCCAAGCTTAAAAAGTTATGAAAAATACCCAGGACATAAGATAAGCACACAGGCATATGAAAGAGGGGGGTTAACTAAAAAACGGAATCTACAAGGAGCAGCACAGTACAGGAACAAAGTCAAGCGCGTCAAAGTAAAGAAAATAAAAATAAATAAATAAATAAATAAATAAATATATATAATACCTGCTAAAGCAAAATTGGCAATTCTTTCGCAATTCTTCATGTTCGTATTCTAATTGGAGACAGATTATTAAGCTAATTACTACACTTCAGCGATCAATTGAAAAAAACCTATTGCCTCTTTACCATAAAAAAAACCTGCAATTCGAGTCAAGAAAATAATATCAGAAAACAAATCATTAACAGGCTGATAAAATTTACATAAAAAGCAACAGAAGACCTAATTTCTCTCTAATAAATAGGGATCAATAATTACACCCTATTTCAGTTACTGAGAAATTTACAGATATTTATCGACAATGCTATACTGATCCCGGTTCAACAGTTATGCTTGATTTTCACGAGAAACAAGAAAAAAAATAACGACGTAAATCACAAGACTTATGACTCCAATTCCATTTTCTCCATTAAAAAAATATATTTCTTTCTATTCCTCAAATTTTCTCAGCAACCAAACAAGAATCAAAATTGTAACCCTAAATTTAACCGCACTGGTATGTAAATTTTATAGAAAGAGATGTACCTGAAGAGGCTCTCTTTCTAACGGTTACTAGAGAAACAGATCGGAGATGCCTAGAGAGAGGGGGGGTTTTTTAGAGAGAGAGAAATAAAAAAGAATTATGTTTTTTTTTATATTTGCAGAAAGAGAAAGAGAGAGATAGGGTTTTACCCAACGAGGCAGGTCAAAAATATTTGGTAAGAATTTACTAGCATTAAAATCGTACAAGCCTGTCACAGAAATTTTAATTGGAAGCCAGTGAAATTAAAAGTTTCAGTGGAAATGGCACAGATACTGAATACGTGGCTTGCTGTTACTAGATTGTCGTGGTGTAATAAGAGACCGGCTGTCATGGATACACTCTCAGTAATTAATTCCGTACTTTATACTTTTACAAACAAGATAAACCGCCCCGGTCATAAAGCAGTTTGCTGCTATACTGGGATCTCTGGAGGGCCACGTATGGTGAGGTTTTCTATCCAATAAGATTCGGCCATCTCAGCAGCCAAAAATATCTCTCTCCTTGTTTTGAGATATTGTGTTAAAAGTTTCGGATTTATTGCATAAAAAGACCATAATCTTTCCTTTTAAGTTATTTTATAAAATATTTTTTATTAAAAAATATATTAAAATAATATTTTTTTATTATTAAAAATTTATTTTTATTAATAGAATATCAAAATAATTCACATATATATATAATGATTTTAAATAAAAACAAATTTAATTGCCTAAATATTCTCTTTATCTTTCTAAATTTGTAGAATATAAATAAAAATATTTTAAAGATATATCTACAATATGTATAGGCCATCATAAATTTATATTTATGTTTTATTTATAAATTTAAGGCACAATAAACTTTTTAACTGCGTATTTGATATTGTGATGTAAATTACTTTTTAAAATATTATTTATTTAAAATATATTAGTATAATTTTTTTTAGATTTTTTTATTTTCAACATTATTACATTAAAATTATTGAAAGATATTAAAACAATATCAATTTGATAATTTTTAAAATAAATATATTTTTAAAAATCATTCAAAAGTGCAAGCTGTGATACTCCCATGAAAAACTTAAGTTAAAAGCTGAATGTATGTACAAACTAAATTTAATAATATATATATATATATATATTTTAAAAACCTCGATATTTATTCTAATAAGTTATCTACCAACACTTTTCATCCTATAGTTATCAAGCTATACGAATTAAGACAAAAGGCTATGTATGTTCTTAGAATATTATTTGTTATTAGATCATATTATAAAATGAATAACCAATATCAAGCATTTAAACTAACATCAATTATATTGATTATATAAATTGATAAGTGTTCTTTATAAGGTAATATTTTAAATTTTTCATAATAATTGGGTCTCTTTTAAGGCTATGAAGTGGAAAAAAATGTTAGGAAACAACAAATCTTTTTTGTTTCTTAAAAAGTAATAGTAAGTGAAAAACATTTTCCGCTAAAAAAAAATTTAACTTGGTTTTTAAAAAAGTGTTTTATTGAAAAATTTAGACAGTAAATACTTTTTGAAAATTATAAAAATTTAAAAATATCATATTATTTGCTGATTATATAAAATTTGATTTTCAAACTTTTGATTGCTATATATATTTATTTTTGAATATTTATTTTTTAATTTTATCTCTTAAAATTTAATTTTTATATTAACTTTAGTTCTATTTTTATAATTGTTATGTGTTTTTCCTTTATTATTTTTTTATTAAAAATTTTTATCTATCAAATTTGATTCTCATTCTTTTGATTGGTACTTATTTTATTTGAAATAATTTATGAAATGTTAACTATTATTATTTTAATTTTTTTATCTTTTATCTTTTTATTTTTTAGATTTGATTTTTATTATTTTGATTATTATTTATTTTATTTAAATTAATTTATAAAATTATATTTTTTTTATAATTTCATTTTCATTCAACTTTTTAATTTGAAATATTTATTCTTTATTTTTTAATAAATTTGAAAAAAATAAAATATTAATAAGTTATTTTTTAGTTTATTTTCCATGACATAACTAAATACTGAAAAATATTTTATAACTTATTTTTTATTACCATACTATATATCAAAAAATAATTTAATTTTCTAAAATTTACTTTAAAAAAAATAACTACTTTTCTATAAATAAACAGCCTTAAAGTCTACAGGGAAATTTACTGCTTTAACCAGAACTGCATTGCATGCAGGAATACTGCGTTCTGCTTATTTTTTTTGATTGAGCAACTGTTACTGGACCGAAACAGTTCTAAGAACATGCCCAGGGAAGGAGTGCATATAAATTTGCGGTATATGTAATGGAATGTCGTGCTGTTGATTTTGTTTCGTGGCGAGTACTCAATAGTTTTAGCGTGCCGATACTTGGGAGACGGAGGCAGTAGCATTAGACATAGGGGAACCAGTGGACGTGGAGGTGTCTGCGCGGATTTTCTGAAAGGACTCAATGAGGGCAGGGCTTTGTGGTGGTGGTTTTTGCGCCGAAGAACCCTTGCTTTTCAATAAAACAACTACTTCGGACATTGTAGGCCTTAAGGAAGCTGTTGACTGAGTGCACGTCAAAGCAATCTCTATGATTTTCTTCATTTCTTCTGTTTCATATTCATCTGGGCTCATGCTTCCATCCACCAATTCCAGATGCATGTCAGCCTCATACAGTCTCCATGCCTATCAAACCACGAGATAACACACGTAAACGAGACAAAACCATGGGAAAGGAACCAAGATCTTGTTGCTACAAGAAGGTTTGACCATTGTGAATCTAGTACCACTACTTTGTTTTCTGGTCAACAAGACAATGGCCAAATTGAAAATGCTATGTAAAGGGAAAATGAATAGTGCATTGGTTAATCACAAATTCACCCGTTTGAGGAGGTAGTCCGAGTCAGGATCTTGATTTGCTTGACTGCATTTTTGGCCGCTCATGATTTCGAGGACAACAACCCCATAGCTATAGATATCCACTTTCTCAGATAATTGTCCATAAATTGCATATTCAGGTGCTGTGTATCCCCTGATGCAATAAGAAAGCAACGGAGAATCAGGTTATTTTATCATGCTATTAGCAATTTCTGAAAAGGATCAAAACACGGAGAATGAACCGAGACTTTAGATGGCCAGAGTGTACTGAGTGTGAATGTTCCATCTCAAGATGCAGTATTTATATGATATAAGCAATCTGGTTGTGATAAGCAATATCAATTCACACGAGCAGGTGCTTATCATAACTTACAGTGTACCAGCAAATCTGGTGGTAAGATGACTCTGAGACTCCGGAAGAAGCCTGGCCAGCCCAAAGTCTGCTATTTTGGGTTGGAAATCATCATCCAAAAGAATATTGCTGGCTTTAATATCTCGATGAATGATGCACAAATGGAAGTCCTCGTGTAAATAGGAAAGTCCCCTTGCTATCCCAAGAATTATATCAAATCGTTGCTTCCAGCTGAGAGAGCCTTTTTTATCACCTGTTTTCCAGAGTAAAACAAAACTCTAATTTTCTCAAGATAATTCTTATCAGATATGGTATTTGTTGTAAGCAACTTCTAAGTCCTAACTCCTAACATGTGATCTCGTCAAATTTACAGGTAGCCATTTTTTTTTATCTTTTGCTAGCGCAAATTGTACGCGCAAAATTTAACTTACCATATAAGAAGTTATCAAGGCTGCTGTTTGCCATGTATTCGTACACGAGAAGTAGTTCTGGTCCATTGCTGCAGCATCCAAGAAGTCGGATGAGATTCCTGTGATGAACATTACTGATGATCTTAACTTCCTTTTCAAACTCCTCCTTTGCCCTGTGAGACTGGCTTATAGCTAGTTTCTTGACAGCAACTACTCTCTCATTCTTTAAAACACCCTGTTTAATGACACAATAACTAAATATCAGCCATGACAGGTCAATGATTCAGCTGAAAATCATATGTGGATCTCGTAATTTATTAATTTTCCATGAAAAATAAAGGAGGAGAAGAAGTTTTCTTCTTTTCTTTTTTCACACTTCACAACCAGCAATTTCTCAGCCATTTCATCTTAAACGATGTAAAATCTTGAATCCATGACAGTCTAACTTCCGTAGAACAGGACTGTTATGCTAATTGTTTCATTATTATTATTATTATTTCTTGAAATCTGTAATTTCTCTCTACTCCACCTTGTACACTTCACCAAAACCTCCTTCTCCAAGTCTGTATTCCTCACTGAAATTTTTTGTTGCCGATTTCAAATCCTTGAAGCTGTAATTCACTGGACCTCGTAATTCAGTCGCCCCTAAAATGTCACCTTCTACAGAAAAAATCAAGCAGAATTTCTTAATAATGTGTAAACATCAGTGACCCAAAAATGTGGAATTCTCTAACATGGTTAAGAAGGGGAATCATTTCGACATATAGCAGATAACTATTCTCTAACATGGTTAAAAAGAGGAATCATTTCGACATATAGCAGATAACTAGTTAAAGAAAAATTATTCACCATAGTTTTTCACAGTGCTTTACCTCTAGGAGCTGCCTTTGGTTTTCTATATAATTTAAACCACAGAAACAGTATTGCAGTAGCAAGTAACAGAAGACCCATGCCTCCAACAAGCCCTGCAATAAGGACTTTCTTTTTGCTTGAACTTCCTGCCAGAATATGGGATCAAATATGAGGCTTAAACTTCCTATAGTCTGTAATTCAGGGAGTTATAACATTCGAAATAAGATTTGCCCTCGAATTCTTATAAAAGACAGCAACCTGAGAAATGTTCAAGATTTGTCTACAAAACAATGAGCCGAAAAAACCTACATGTACTAGTCTACCTGATATCTGAGCTTGCACTGTGGCTTTATAATTAGGAAATTATTATCGGATAGTATGTCCAGGCATCAAGAATCCCATCCCTATATTTAAAATTTATCGCCAATGTGGTCTAAATTCACTCTAGAAGGTTAATTAATTGAAAAAACTGGCATAAAGAGTCCTTCCATACAAAGACATCTACGATCAAAGGGCCGAATGGCTACAAACTAGTAAAACACTGGAAGTCTGGAAATAGAAAGCTTACCATTTCTCAAGAAGGGCTTGAGATCCGTTAGTTGGTTATCTGCGAAGAAAGGCGTGTCTGAATACC